CCTGTGTGTCTGCATTTTCTAGTTTCCTGAGTCCAGTGGATCACAACTCTGTCTGCAATAAGAATCAACTGGGAGCTTTTAAAAAATACCATTTCTTGAACCCCACAACCAGAGATTCTGATTTAATAAGTTTTGGAAGTGGTCTAGATATCAGTATTTCAAAGTTTCCCAAGTAATTCTAATGTACAAGTTTTGCTGTAATGAAAGATTTGTATCCCTAATAATCACTAGGCTGTGCAAAATTACACAGTAAAAATCACAGAGTGTATGGGAAAACTGTGTTACAGATACAATACTCAAAAAACTCATCAGGGACATAATGGAAAAAAGACGAGAAATTAATAAAAACTTTGCACAGATTTAAGAAATACATAAGCACTACAATAAATCTGGCACTTTACCTTAAAAAGACCTGATGTTTGCTTGTCAAAGTAGGTGTCAGCATGATGGTTCAACTAACTTGCAAATCAATCAAATTTATACACACACACACACACACACACACACAAGCACACACACACACACTTACACAATTACATTGAGAAAGGGAAACACAGAGCAAATTTGGCAAAATGTTAACAATTAATGAATAGACTGGAGGGCACAGGAGAATTTTTGTTCTATTCTTGGAACTCAGTTATACATTTTAATTTTGTTAAATAAAGACGTAAAAATCACTAGTCGCAAGTCTCTGCTTCCAGTCAAGACAGAGAAACAGGAACGGCTTTATCTTCCTGCCTAAAACAACTAAAAACTGAACAAAGTATATTTAATACACAGTACGCAAGCCGCTGGATACCAGGCAATGAAGAACAGTGAACCCAGGTTACCAAATTGAGAAAATTTTCAGGCCTCAGCCAAGGGAGAAAGAGCCAAGCAGAACTCATGAATCGCTGTGAGTTAAAGGGACTAAGTTCAGAGCACAGAGACATCGAGGTAGTCAGAATCCTAGAGAAGAGACAAGGATAGAGTACTAGAGAGAAGAAAACTGCACAAAGAAAAATCTCAGGAGAATGCAAAAGACTCCCCCTTGATTATGTAGCTAAGGGAGGAAACTATGCCAAGGAAATAACTCTCCCATAAGGATTACAGGAAACACTATCCAGAGCTCACACAGAGCCACAGAATCATTCCAGGTCCCAACAGCCAGAGTGTAAAACGTAATAATTTGGAGAGCATCCTATGCGCAGTGAGAATGACCTTCCTCACCAGATCAGATAAAATTCACCCTAGATCACATGTAACTCTGGTGCCACCTAACAAATGCAAAGGCAAGAACCAAACAGATCAAACTGTCTCCAAGTAACTTAACCATATCCCAAAATAAAGCTCAAGAACATTTAAAGAAATACAAAACTATTTAGTACCTAAAAAGGTAAAATTCACACTACCTGGCATCAAATCAAAAATTACCATGCAGAAAAATACAACCCAAAATGAGGAGAAAAATCAGTCAATCAAAACTAACCCAGAAATAACACAGATGTTAGAAGACAGGGACAATAAAGCAGTTACATGTATTCCACATGTTCAAGAAACTAAAGAATAAGCATATTAAGTAGAGACATGAAGGATATAAAAAGATTCTAATCCTATAAAAGGAAAGGCTAATATGCAAATAGCCCGAAGAGCGAAACAACCAAACAACCGGTCGCTATGAGGTGTGCTGACCACCAGGGGATGTACGCAGAACATGGCGGGCATCAGCAGCAGGCAGCAGAGAGGGGAACCTGGTGGGCGTCGGCAGCAGTGGATGGTGGAGGTGAGTGGGGGCACCAGACCAAGGCAGGGCGCCAGTCGCTGTCATCAGGGCGAGCCTCTGGTGGTTACTGAAAATTCTTTGCTCCCACATGCCACAGTATTGCCCGGCACTCGCACCTCCTGCCGGTGCCAGTCCTGCTCGTACCCGCTGCCATCAGCGGTTGCGAGCAGTGGCTGCTGGCCCTGACCGCCCCTGAGGGCTTCTTCACCTCCCCCTGCTCCTGAACGGGGTGATCGGGGCAGCAGCCACCATTTGCACCTGCTACTGGCACCAGCCCCAATCACCCCACGCTCTGCGCCATCAGCAGGTGAGAGCAGGGCCAGCCCCATCAGCACCTGGGAATGGCGGCGACGGGAGCAGGGCTGCCGGCAGACAGGAGACTGGGCTGCGGCATGAAGGGCCAGGCGGGAGCACAGAGTATGGGCCAAGGCCCTCCCCTGTGCCTACCGCAGACTCAGGGCCCACAGTCCCCCTCAAAGTGCACAAATTTGTGCACTGGGCCCCTAGTTGAACTATAACAGATAAATCTTTTTTTTTTTTTTTTTAAGATTTACTCATTTCAGTATGGAAATAGCTCAACTACTCAGTTCCTGTTTCCTTCCCTCTAATTCCTTAACCTACAGTACAGGTATGGGTTAAAAAGGTTGGGTTTAATGGCACAAATAGGCAAGAACCAAACAGATCAAACTGTCTCCAAGTAACTTAACCACATCCCAAAATAAAGGTCAGACACAAAGTGAGATTGTCAGAGAAAGAAGAAGGAGGGAGGAAGTAGCATTGCTGGAAGAGGAGTGGTCTGGGAAATGGTCAGAGTTCATGTCTCTGATAGGACTATCAAAGGGCACCAGAAATGAACAATGTCTGACATGAAAAATACATGGGATGTAATTAACAACAGTTATTTAAAAATACATGGGATCTGACATTGCATAAAAACAAGATTAGAGAAATGGAAGACATAATAATAGAAACTAACTACAATGAAACACAAAGACAGAAAAATAAATAGAGTATCAATAAACTATGGGATAACTTCAAACAGCCACATATACACTGAGTGGCCAGATTATTATGACCACCCCATCAGTACTTCGTTGGGCCACCTTTTGCCTTCAATACTGCGGTGATTCTTCTTGGCATTGACTCCACGAGATGCTGAAAGGTGATGCAAGGAATCTGACACCATGCCTAATGAATAGCACTGTCCAGTTCTGTGAGATTTGATGGTTGTGGAACCAGCTGCCTGATAGCTCTTTTAACTTCGTCCCACAAATGCTCAATTGGATTGAGATCTGGTGATTGTGGGGGCCACCTAAGCAAGGTAAAGTCTCCCTCATGTTCTTGAAACCAGTCCTGCACAATACAAGCACCGTGGCATGGCGCATTGTCTTATTGGAAGAAGCCACCTCCATTGGGATACGCCATCAACATGATAGGATGAACTTGATCAACAACGATACTTAGGTATGTTATGCTATTCAGACGTTGTTCCACATGAATTAAAGGGCCCAAATCATGCCAGAAAAACATGCCCCAAAGCATAACACTGCCCCACCAGCTTAAAGGGTTGTACTCATGCATGTGGGGTACATGCTTTCATGTCGTTTCCACCAAATTCTCACTCTGCCATCTGCATGATGCAACTGGAAATGTGATTCATCGGACCACATGACTTTTTTCCAATGCTCGACTGTCCAATCCTTGTGTTCCTGTGAGAATTGAAGACGTTTTATCTTGGTAACTGCAGACAGCAAAGGGGTTCAAACAGGCCTTCGGCTGTTTTGCTGATACTCGCCTCCATGGCTTTGAGCACCAACAATCATCCCATGTTCAAAGGCTGTTAAATCGTGTTGTTTACCCATATCTTCAGAAAAAAAATCACTTTTACTGTCATGGTAAACAACCTGCTTCCCTATTTATAATGGTCTGGCCCTCTAGCAACTTCAGCACGAAATTATAGCTAATTTGCCTTCACACGTCAGGTGGTCATAATAATCTGGTCACTCAGTGTATATGTAATCAGACTCCTCAAAGCAGGTAAGAAGGATGAGAGAGGACTAAAAAATATTGTTTTTATATAATGGCTGGCATTTTTCCAAAGTTAATTAAAACTCTAAACCCAGATATAAGAATGTCAACAAACCCCTGGCAGAAGAAACATGAAGAAAACTATGCAAAGGCACCTAACAGGTTGATTAAAACCAGTGATAAAGAGCCCTAGCCAGTTTGGTTCAGTGGATAGAGCAGTGGTTCTCAACCTTCCTAATGCCGCGACCCTTTAATACAGTTCCTCATGTTGTGGTGACCCCCAACCATAAAATTATTTTTGTTGCTACTTCATAACTGTAATTTTGCTACTGTTATGAATCATAATGTAAATATCTGATATGCAGGATGTATTTTCATTGTTACAAATTGAACATAATTAAAGCATAGTAACTAATCACAAAAACAATATGTAGTTATATATGTTTTCCGATGGTCTTAAGCAACCCCTGTGAAAGGGTCGTTGGACCCCCCAAAAGGGTCGCGACCCACAGGTTGAGAACCGCTGGGATAGAGCGTTAGCCCACGTAGTATTCAGGTTTCAATTCCCATCAAGAGCAAATTCAATCCCAATCCCCAGCCCTGGTCGGGCATGTGAGGGAGGCAACCAATCAATGTTTCTCTCTCACTTCTCTTCCCGTCTCTTCCACTCTATAAAAATAAATGAAAAAATATCCTCGAGTGAGAATAAATAAATAAATGAAATCAGCAATAAAGAAAAAATTTTAAGCATAGCCAGAGGGGGAAAAATAACAAATATTTCATCAGCAACAATGCAAGGAAATACTTTAGTGGTATTTTTGAAGTATTGAGAGAAAAAATAAACAGCAAAAATATTTTTCAAAAATGAAGACAATATAAACATTTTCATACTTACAAAACCTAAAAAAAATGAATTATCAGAATTCCATTATAAAAATGTTAATGGCAGTCCTTTAAGAAGGAAAATGATACCAGATAGAAATCAAGATATACACCAAGAAATAAGGGTACTGTACATTGTAACTCATTGGGTAAACATAAAGACTTGTGTTTTTATTATTTAAAGAACTCAAAAGATAATCAACTACTTACCGCAATATTAATAATAACAATAATGTATCGTGGGGTTTATCCATATGTAGTATGACCTATTTGCCTTAAGCACAATTATGATGCTATACATAACAAATGATGAAATTAGTCCTCTCACCTTAGAAACGTTGCTGACATAATTCACTTGAATAGTGCTTTCTTTATCAACTTGATTACAAAGGTTCTGTAAAGTAGATGCATATTCTTTATCACTTTTTATCCTCAGGGCCATAAATTTCTTCACTGTTTCCAGTAAGCGTAATTCCCAATCTTGCAATTTTAACACAGCTTCATGTGAATTCTTCAGGTCACTCCCAAACCCCATTTTTGTAAGGCACTGTCTTATCCTCCACACTGCACAAGCAAGCCTTCTAGTCAGTGCATATCTGTGTATGTAAACAGAAAAAAAAAAATCTTAAATCAAAAGAAAGTTTGTCTTCAAAACAAAGTTATTTTTAACTTTTTTAGGGCTCATTTTAGGGTTAAAAAAGAAATCACTACAACTGAATGCTTTCACACTAAAGATTAGGAACAAGATGAGGATGTCCCCACCCTCACCACTTCTATTCAACACTGGACTGGAGGTTCTAGTCAGTGCCATAAAATTTAGGAATAAATATTACAAAATAAATTCAAAACTTGTATTCTTAAAACTAAAAAACATTGTTAAAATAAATTAAAGAAGACCTAAATAAATGGAAAGATTCATATCCTTGGATTCTAAAGACTTAACATTGTTAAGAAGGCAATACTCACCAATTTGATCTACAGATTTAACTCAATACATATTGACATCTAAGCTAGCTTCTTTTTTTGCAGAAATTGACAAGCCAAAATTTACATAGAAATTCAAGGAAGCCAGGATAACCAAAAATTAACAAAAAATATTGAAAAAGAAGAACAAAGTTAGAGTATTCACACTTCCTGATTTCAAGACCTACTGAAAAGCTACAGCAATAAAGATAATGTGGTACTGACATATGGTAGACATAGACATCAGTGAAGTAGAACAGAGGTTCCAGATTTAAATACTCACATTTAAGGTTAAATTATTATCTATAAGGGTGCCAAGTCTACTCAATAGGTAGAAAGGTCTCTTCAACTAATGATGCTGCTGGGATACATGTAAGAGAATGAAGCACGATTCCTTCCTTAGAATATACACAAAAAATAAACTTTACAGAGATGTAGCTCTAAATATCAGAGCTAAATCTATAAAACTCTCAGAAGAAAACAAAGTAAATCGTCATGACTTTGGCTTAGGCCAGTGATGGCGAACCTTTTGAGCTCGGTGTGTCAGCATTTTGAAAAACCCTAACTTAACTCTGGTGCCGTGTCACATATACAAATTTTTTGATATTTGCAACCATAGTAAAACAAAGACATATTTTTGATATTTATTTTATATATTTAAATGCCATTTAACAAAGAAAAATCAACCAAAAACATGAGTTCACGTGTCACCTCTGACACACATGTTATAGGTTCGCCATCACTGGCTTAGGCAATGGTTTCTTAGATATAACACCAAATGCACAAGCAACAAAACAAAAATACATAAATTGTACTTCATTAAAATTAAAAAAGTCTCTACTTTAAAAGCCACCACCATAAATAAAGGGAAAAGACAACCCACAAAACAGTAGAAAATATTTGCTAATCCTCTCTGACATGGAACTTCTATCAGGAATGTATAAAGAATTCTTATAACTCAATAATAAAAAGACAAACCAATTAAAATGAACAAAAGATCTGAAAAAAGATTTCTCCAAAAAGATTTACAAATGTCCAACACACACATGAAAATATGTTCAATATCATTAGTCATTAGGAAAATACAAATCAAAATCACAGTGAGATTCCACTTCACACCGCCAGTATGTCCATAATCAAAAAGACAGATAATATCAAGCATTGGACACTGTGAAGAAATTAGAGCCCTCCTACACTGCTGATGGAAATGTAAAATGAGCAGTTTCTCAAAAGTTAAACATAGAGTTATTATATTCCTCTGTTCAGTATAAACCCAGAAGAAATGAAAATATATGTCCATACAAACACTTGTACAGAATGTTCAAGCAGAATTATTCATAACAGCCACAAAGTGGAGTAATCTCAATGTCCATCAATTGATTAATACATAAATAAAACACAATGTCCATACAAATGAAATATTATTTGACAATGAAAAAAATGAACTATAGAGACAAGCTACAACATAAATAAACCTTGTAAACATTATGCTAAGTAAAAAAGTAAGAATCAAAAGACTGACATACTCTATGATGTGAAATGCCCAAAGTTTAGAGACAGAAAATAGAGTAGTGGTTGCCGAAGGCTGACAAACTTGGGAAGAAGTGAGGAGTAACTGCTAATTGATACTGCATTTCATTTTGAGGGATAAAAATTTTCTAAAATTGAATGTGATGATGGTTGCACAACTCTTTGAACTACTTAAAAAATCATTGAATTGTACAGTTTACATGGGCAAATTTTTTAGCATGTGACCTATATGTCAATAAATTGTAGCCCTAGCGGGGTTTGCTCAGTGGCTAGAGCGTTGGCCTGCAGACTGAAGGGTCCCAGGTTCAATTCTGGTCAAGGGCACATGCCCGGGTTGTGGGCTCAATCCCCAGTTGGGAGCGTGCAGGAGGCAGCCAGTCAATGATCCTCTCTCATCATTGATGTTTCTCTCTCTCCCTCTCCCTTCCTCTCTCTGAAATCAATAAAAAAAATATTTTTAAAAAGTTATAAATGCTTTTTAAAAAAATAAAAAAATAAATTATAGAAAGTCACTACAAAAGACATCGAGTGGCTGAATGGATAAAAAAACATGACCCATATATTTGCTGTCTACAAGAGATCCACCTCATTAGAAGGGACGCACACAGACTCAAAGTGAAGGGATGGAAAAATATCTTTCAGGCAAATGGAAATGAAAAAAAAGCTGGGGTAGCAATACTTATATCAGACAAAATAGACCTCAAAGTGAAGGCCATAACAAGAGATAAGGAAGGCCACTTCATAATACTAAAGGGATCAATACAACAAGAGGATATAACCCTGATAAACATATATGCACCCAATGCAGGAGCACCCACATACATAAGAAAACTCCTGGAAGATATCAGGGGAGAGATCGACAACAATACAATCATAGTAGGGGACTTGAATACACCACTGACATCACTGGATAAATCCGCTAGACAAAAACTCAGCAAAGAAACAGCAATCCTAAATGACTCACTAGATCAGATGGACTTAATTGACATCTTCAGAACACTTCACCCCAAAGCCACAAAATATACGTTCTTCTCAAGTGCTCATGGGACATCTTCAAAAATAGACCACATATTGGGTCACAAACAAAGTCTCCCCAAATTCAAGAAGACTGAAATCATACCAAGCATCTTCTCAGACCACAAGGCCATAATATTAGAAATAAACTACAATAAAAACAACTCAAAACACTCAAACACTTGGAAGCTGAATAGCACGTTATTAAATATTGATTGGGTTACCAATGAGATCAAAGAAGAAATTAAAAATATCCTGGAAACTAATGACAATGAAAACACAACAATCCAAAACCTTTGGGACGCCATGAAAGCAGTCCTGAGAGGGAAGTTTATAGCTCTACAGGCCTATCTCAACAAACAAGAAAAAATGGTAGTAAATCATCTAAATCTATAGCTCAAAGAATTAGAAAGAGAGCAACAAGAAAAGCCCAGAGTGAGCAGAAGGAAGGAGGTAATAAAGATTAGAGCAGAAATAAATGACATAGAGAGCAAAAAAACAATACAGAAAATCAATGAAATAAAGAGCTGGTTCTTTGAAAGGATAAACAAGATTGACAAACCTCTAGCCAGGCTCACCAAGAAGCAAAGAGAAAGGACCCGAATCAACAAAATCAGAAATGATAGAGGCGAAATAACAACAGATCCCACAGAAATACAAATGATTGTTAAAAAATACTATGGACAACTCTACTCCAACAAACTAGACAACCTGGAGGAAATGGACATATTCCTAGAAAAATACAACATTCCAAAACTTAATCAGGAAGAATCTAAAAATCTCAATAGGCCAATAACTATGGAAGAAATTGAAGCAGTCATCAAAAAGCTTCCAGCAAACAAAAGCCCAGGACCAGACGGCTTCACAGGGGAGTTTTACCAAACATTCAAGGAAGAACTAAAACCTATCCTCCTCAGACTACTACAAAAAATCCAAGAGGAAGGAACACTTCCAAGCTCATTCTATGAAGCCAGCATCACCCTAATACCAAAACCAGGTAAAGACAACACAACAAAAGAGAATTACAGGCCAATATCCCTCATGAGATGCCAAAATCCTCAACAAAATCTTAGCAAATCGGATCCAGCAGTACATCAGAAAGATCATACACCACGACCAAGTAGGATTTATCCCAGGGATGCAAGGATGGTACAATATCCGCAAATCAATAAATGTGATACATCACATAAACAAATTGAAAGAAAAAAACCGCATAGTCATATCAATTGATGCAGAAAAAGCGTTTGACAAAATTCAACACCCATTTTTGATAAAAACTCTCAGCAAGGTGGGAATTGAAGGATCATACCTGAACATAATAAAAGCAATATATGACAAACCCACAGCCAACATAATACTCAATGGACAAAAACTAACACCATTTCCCCTAAGAACAGGAACAAGACAGGGATGCCCACTCTCACCACTCCTGTTCGACATAGTACTGGAAGTATTAGCCATTGCAATTAGACAAGAAGAAATAAAAGGCATCCAAATTGGAAAAGAAGAAGTAAAACTGTCCTTATTTGCAGATGACATGATATTATACTTAAAAAAACCCTAAAGACTCCATCAATAAACTATTAGACTTAATAAAATTCTTAATAAAAGAATTCGGCAATGTAGCAGGATACAAAATTAACGCCAAGAAATCTATGGCATTTCTATACACCAATAGTGAATGTGCAGAAAGAGAGACTAAAAAAGCAATCCCATTTACCATCGCACCAAAAAAATTAAGCTACCTAGGAATAAACTTATCTAAAGAGGTAAAAGACGCCGAAACCGGTTTGGCTCAGTGGATAGAGCGTCGGCCTGCGGACTGAGGGGTCCCGGGTTCGATTCCGGTCAAGGGCATGTACCAGGGTTGCGGGCACATCCCTAGTGGGAGATGTGCAGGAGGCAGCTCATTGATGTTTCTCTCTCATCGATGTTTCTAACTATCTCTCTCCCTTCCTCTCTGTAAAAAATCAATAAAATATATTTTTAAAAAAAAAAGAGGTAAAAGACCTCTTCTCAGAAAACTACAGGACGTTGAAAAAAGAGAGAGGAAGACAAAAAGAGATGGAAGAACATACCATGTTCTTGG